GTAATAGTAAATATTTTGTGAAACTCCTTTCAGTGCAGTTAATATGGATATTCATACTGAGTCTCAATGTAAAGTGAAATGAAATTAATATTGTGGTGACAGTAAAAATAAAAGGCTGAATAACAATGTACTTTACCAGCTTACAGGAAGGTTCACTGGGGTTAGAATCCTTGGCTTAACATATATATGAAATATGTGCCTGCTGCATTTTTTAAAAAAGGTTTTATTTATCTTTAGAGAAAGGGAAAGGGTGGGAGAAAGAGAGGGAGAGAAGCAGCAATGTGTGGTTGCCTCTTACATGCCCACTACAGGAGACCTGGCCCACAACCCGGGCATGTGCCCTGACTGAGAATTGAACCAGCGACCCTTTGGTTTGCAAGCTGGTGCTCAGTCCACTGAGCCATACCAGCCAGGGCTACATTTCTAATTTAAATTTTCTGGTTATAAAATTTCCAGGTCATCTTTGTTCTAAGGTCTTCCAGAATTGTTTATTCATATAGAGAAGTATATGGCCAAGTTAGATGTAATTTGCTCTTTCCTAGGTATCCAAAGAATGTCTTTCCTCAATTTTTAAGGTAGTTTTTCCTAGGATATCAGTGCACTTTTGGTCTTCAGATTCAAGTCTTCTTTTATTTCTGGAAGTTTATCTGAACTATGTCTTTGAATTTTTTATTTGATTCTCTTCTGTAACATGTATATGTTATCTGTCTTTTGTCTGTTTTATAAAGTTGTTTTCTCCTTGATTCTTAATTAATTTCCTGTTATTTTTCTTGCTTTCTCAATCCTGTCCTCCATGTTTCATTCCTCCCCCCAACCCCCCACCAGCGGCTAACCTTCTTTGTGCTGCCTTCAGTAAAACTTCCATTTTTTTGATGTTTTCAGTTTTCTTTCCCATTTCACCTTTGGCCTCTCTCAACTCGTATTTCATTATCTTCTGTTGCTGTGCCATATTTTCTTGTACAGCCAGATCTCAATTGTCAACAGATTGGTTATTCTACTATATTTTCTTTGACTGTATCACATATAGTCTTCATAATCTTCACCTGTTCAGTAAGTATTCATCTGTCATGTGCTTGCCTCGTTCCTTTTCCTCACTTTTTATTTGTGTATTTTACAGATCCTGTACTACTTCTTTTGCATTATTATTATAAGGGTCCTACTACTGGCCTTTGAATTAAGTGAGTTTTTCCTAGACCATATATTTGCAGGGTAGTTATGGCTAGGGCATTATTTTAGAGTAAAGAGGGTTCTCCCTACTCAACATGGAAGCTCCCTGTGATTCAGAAAAAGAATATGTGTGTGTGTGAGCAAGAGGAAAATTGAGTGTGTATTCACATAGCCGGCCCTCCTCCCTAGCTGCAGAGATGGGCAGTTATGACGCCCCTTGCATCTGAGAATCTCTCTTCTCCTAGGAGCTTACCAGCACACATGTTTCAGGGGAAGACAGTGATTCTCTGTGATTCTTCATGGACACACCTTAGAATTGGCCAGTGGGTAGGAGAGTGATTCCTGAGGTCCGCTCCCCTAAGTGCCCTCTCCCTGTCTCATCATAGCCCCATTGGGTGCGGTTGCAGAGGCAGCTCTTCCAAATATTTCGCCATTTGGGATTTCAGGTGACTCCTGATTTCATCAAAGATGGGCTTTAAAAATAAACTTCACAGTATCCTTATTGTTTAGGGTGATTTCTGAGGGTATATGGGGAGAGGAAATCTATTTCTGATCTCTTAAAAGCAGAAGTCCTCCCTAACTCTCCAGGATTCTTTAACTTCGACAATATGCATGCCAACATGTATGCCAAAATCAGCCCTGTTCTAAAGACTGGTTTGAGGGGTATTGGCACTGAGCTTGGGCCACACAGTTCAGGGAGACCGAACTGGCAGAGTCTTGAGCCAGAATTCAACATGTTGAATAGCGCCCTATGGATATGATGTTAACAAAAACACTCGCCATTATCCATTCATGGGAGCTTTGTTGTCCTTCTGCATTTTATAAGCTCTCATTCCATGATGGTAGCTTTATTGACAATTTATGCTTTAAACACTCCGTGTAAGTTCAGCCTGTATTAGAGAAATTACAATGAATCAAACCCAAGAGAAGGAGGGGAAGAGGGACAAGAAGCTAAACAATCACTGGTCTAACTTCCTTCTGGCCCTGAACTTGAACTTTTATGGCATTGTCTCCTTTAATCTTCACAAACTGTTCTGAGTCGGCATCATCCCTTTTTGACAAATGGCAGGAGAGCCTAACTAAGTTACTGCTCAGGGTCACCAGTCAGTACTCCAACTTCCATAATCTTTTAACTACCTTTCTGGCTCCCGATTGACCCCATTCACCGGGTTAAATGTGTCTCCGCGACAACACTGGGGCTCCATGAGGACAATATCAAAAGATCCACCCGGGCCTCCCAGATGCTTTGTCTTCACCATTCACGCGAGGCGATGCTGCTTCTTTCTGTGGGCTGAGGGGGCCGCTCCTCCTGAGCAGCATCATAACCACACCCAGCACTTAGCTCGGCGGGTTTTCAACCTGCAGTTTGTAGCCATTAATTAGTTCCTATGAGGTAAGTCATTGTCTCATTTCACAGATGAGGCAGCCAGCATGGAGAGAGGTGATTTTTCTGGGACCAGCAGCGAGTCCCAGAACAGAGAGCTGAGACTGGCGCCCTCCGTAGGCTTAGCCTGCACACAAGGACCCCGCTAACAAGCGTTCGGTCACCCCAGCTCCCTGCACAGCCTGCACCATGAACAAGCCGCCTTCTGGCACCTCTCCTGGCGGGCAGGCTGTATTGAGAGACTTGGCACCAGATGAGAAAAGGGAAGGTCAAATAAAGGATTTTGTACACAGGAAGCCCGTTTTCAGTATTCAGTTTCTAGCATTTCAGGCCATGAAGCTAAGACCGCTTTAGTGAACAGTAGCTAATAATAGCAAAGTCTTTATTCAATATGTTACATTAAGAGGGTTATGAGGAAAGGAATTGGCTTATTTGGGGAGGACACTCGAGCAGCAGAAAATGAAATGACTTTCCATTTGTTCTTTGGGCTGTTTTTATTTATTTTTATTTATTTTCTCTAAACCAAGCTCCAGCCCGTTGTATCAAAGACACTGCAGCGTCTGCTTCCCACCGGCCGTGTGGCGCCCTTCTAGCGATGGCACGGTCACGCGGGCCAGTGATCATTGCCGTCCTCACGCTGTGCCCAGTGCAGTCTCATGGCCATGGTGGTGGTGGCGGACCTCAGGCTTGGCCAACGTGGCCTTGTACTCTACCTCAGATGTCCTCGGGGTGGGACAGTGGTTGGCGAGGATGACCAGCCTCGCTTTGCCTCGTCTCATCATCCCCAGAGTCTGCTGGCTCCCCAGCACGCACTTTCCGTTTCTCAAAACAAGTCGTAGCCTCGAGTTGGTCGACTCCAGTGATCCTTCTGTCTTCTTTGCAGCCACCAGCTGCCTGCCTTAGGTGCGGGGTGGCCCCCCCCCACCAAGGGCAGCTGCCAAGGTGGCCTGGGAGTGAGAAAGGCCTTCTGGCTGTTGGTAATTTCACCAAGAAATGGGTTTTGGGTTTGTTTTTTTTTTTTCGGGTACATAAACTATAACCACACAAAATATGGCCATCTTTAAAACGTGGAGGAGGGAGAAGATATAAATGAGCCTCCAGTAGAGGCCTTATTTTTGAATACACGCATTTTAATGGAAACAGCCTCAGAGTTTGCCCAGTAGGGTCCAAGCATTATTGAAGGATTTCTTCTTTTTCTCCTTAAGTGACAGCATATAGTATTTCATACACAGTGACGTTTTGGGAAGAGTAGGTATGTAAGCAACAAGAGAAAGGGTACACTTCATAGGCAGGTGGCCGTCTCAGCGCTTTTCATTTTCGTACGTGGAGGCCATTATCTCCATGATAACTTTGTTGACAGCACTCACAAATATATTTGGAGCCTGGCTTTCTAAAAGAGACCCGGAATCGTATGACTAAGAGACCCAGCTCATGACACTTGTCAGCCTCAGACAGACGGTGCATTTTCTGTTTTAAAGACTCACACAAAACTTTTCACATTCGTCTTTGAAAAAAAAAAAATTACATTTGAAGGCCTTTTTCACCCAAACACATTTTGAGATAAGAGCTCCCAAGTCGTGACATTATTTCATTTTGTTATGTGCATCTGTCAGGGAACCAAGATACGATACAGCCACTAAAAACCGATGATTGCGGAACAGAGGAACTTGACAGCATTTCATTTCCTTTATGTGCTGATTATACATTTATCAGAAAGCCCGTATCTCTTCTAGTTCAGCTAGAAATTGGTAGAATTCAGGAACTCAAAGGCCTGGCAAAGAACTGCCCTATTATTTGGTATCATCTTACATTTTAGAGAAGTTGCTTGGTTGAGTCATTGTTAAGGCTTTTGCTTCTCTTTTCATTACGGTGCCCACTGTCCACAGATCACATTTCTATGGGCCCTGGAACTGCTTTGCTGCACAAATTAAACGCCGGGATATTTCATACATATACGACACCGTTTCAATACTTGTCAATCAGAGTTTAAAAAATACAGGGATTACAACCTGATATTAACATCCAAATCTATTGTGCTCATTTTGTGTGTGAAAATGAGAAACCCTCATGCAGACGCTAGATTTCCCAGCCTCTTTGTCACCCTGTTTTTAATTTATCTCCAGGTTTTGACTCAGTAAAATGATTCTGCTTATCAGTGTAATGTAGTGATAAAACCTATCTGTGGATCAGAACGATCAGACCTGAAGTGGATCTACAGGTTGTTTGGCATTAAGCCTGGCCCCACTGAGGGTTTTTAATGGGGCTACTTCCTTTATAGAATAAATGCATCCCTGTATTTTTTTTTTTTTTAATTGTGCTTCTATGAGTGATATGAGTTTGCTTCACAGGAAGAAGTGGACATAGAAATGCATTGCCTTAGGGAGAAGGACTTTAAAACTTTAAACATGTTCTTTTTATGCCTGTCTTCTTTTTTTTTTTTTCATTACAGGTGTACTTCAAAAGGAATTATCCAGATATTACCCAGAATGGCCCTGTGGTGACAACCACGTCTAATGTACAGCCTGCGGCCTTCACTATTTTTGAGACAGCCCTGTGATTCCACTGCAACGTCAGGCCTATTCTGAAGTCATTTTTCCAGTAGCTTTTGCACTGTCTGAACGACACCATACTTTTTTTAACACGAGCACCAAATATCGACACATACAAGATGTTAGTTTATTTGCATTTTTCCTCCAACTTCACCCAATGATTTTAAGCTCTAACAAAGTTACTTATTATTTATATTTATATGTTATAGTATTTTTTTTTTTCTTATCCAAATCAAAAGTGCAGGCCACCAATAAAAGCTGTCTACCAGGTTTTGTGCCTTAAGAGACTCGGAGCCAAAGCTCATTTTGTGAGCTATGAGACGAAGTTGTAAGAGATTTTTTTTTTTTTACTACCCCCCAGTTCTATCAGGGATTCTATTTACTTGAAAAACTGTCTGAAGTCACCCTGTTGTCTTACCACTTTCCTTACACACCTAGGATCCGTTATTTCCCCTCACAGGCCTCTGGTGCAAATAGCACAGATGAAACTAGTCGGAAAACCAGAAAATACACTTCAGTATACGTGGCATTATAATAGGGAACGTCTGCTCCCCCACCCCACCCCCCAGACAAGCTGCTATATATAGTTAACATACAGAAAGGCAATATTTAATTATATGTTCCAAAAGAAAAGGAAGAGAAAAGTAATGCTTTCTCAAAATAGAAGCCGTGAGAGATGATTCGATAACGAAGGACACAAGTGTGGCCATTGATCATCTTTAAATTTCTACGACTTTGACACGGGCACTGTTGTGGTTTTAGACTCAGCACGGTGATGTCAAGAAAAGCCGAACTGCTAACAGTAATTCCTGAATAGGTAGTAGTGCTCTTATTCAGGGTTCTGGTTCACTGCTGGCTAGCCTTCGGTTGACTATAAACCTTTTGCTGTAGCCTTTATTGAACTTCCCTCTAAATTGCATGCACAGGCTGTCCTGTGATGGTGCACAAAAATGGAAATCATTGTGGACTTTGTGATTACACAGTGTGGTCTCATGGTGCATCCAGAAGGTTCACGTGTATGAGCCTACCCAGGTTAGTGTACTTTTGACCACAAATAGCAGTTTGTTTAGGTCTTTCTGATGAGTAAATGAACAAACCACACTACATCCCAGAGCCTGCTATACTTTCTTTGAATGTGGGTCTTTAGTTTTTCTTGGTGGTGATGGCTATGGTACGTTGAGGTCAAGTTGCTAAATGTTCTACAGTCTTGGTTTTAAGCGGACTCTTATAACCTCTCAGACTAAGGGACAGCCACCCTCAAGTTGCATATATTAACCTATATGCCTTCATAGAGCAGGGTTTCGGACTGTTCACCAGGAACAAATGTTTTGTAAAATCAAGCCTTAAAACATGCACACACAGCCAACTACCAAAATAAGTTGAGTGCAGTAGCTGTTGAACATTTTATATCTAGAAGTGTCATAGTTAATGTCTAGTCCAGTGAACCAGTCAGTTGTTTAATAGTCAAGGTTAGTACTTCCCGAAACTGAAATGACAACAATGGTAATAGTGAGGTTTGTTAAAACAATGGGAATATTGGAAATGTATGTGTATTTAGTTTGTCTTTAGAGGTTAAAGACAGTTTAAAAATGTGTCTTTTATTTCTGTGTTACTGTTGTCATGGAGTTTTTAATGAAACAAAATTCAGTTGAAATAAATGACATTGCTTATCTCCATTTAGAGTTCTGTACTTTTGTTCTTAGAGGGATTGCTGACTCATGTCCTTGCTGTGTTGAAAGTCACTGACTTTTCCTGAGATCGTAAAAATATCTCCCATGACTGACAGGTTCTCCCGATGAATTCATCAGGTGGACCAAATGTTCTAAGCAGATAGGCTGTTTTCAGGCAGGTTAACATAGTTGCTATTGAAGCAAACCCAATTGGACCACTTCCGGGAAAAAGGAGAGAGTATTAGCTTATGCCCTGTGCTTGGACAAGCATTAAATTGTTGAGGTTTTTGTGTTCTGAAAGGTGGCTTTGCCCTGGACGAAAAAGAAACATCTTTTGCTGCTCCATTTAAAACACTGCTGGATCTTACATTTAAATAAATAAATAAATAAATAAATAAATAAATAAAATCTGCATATTAAAAAAAGAAAGAAGGAACTCCTACCTTTTGCGACATCATGGATGGAACTGGAGAATATTATGCTAAGTGAAATAAAGTCAGTTGGTGAAAGACAAATACCATATGATCTCACCTATAAGTGGAATCTATTCAACAAAATAAACTAACAAACAAAATAAACCATAGGCACGGAAACAAGGAGCAGACTGAAAGTGACCAGAGGAGCTGGGGAAGGAGGACAGTGGTGGGAAGGAGAAGGGACTAGACAAAGAACAGGTATGAATGACCCATGGACATGGACAACACAGTGGGAATTGACTGTGGGAGTGGGGGCGGGGTGGGATGGATGGAGGAGGGCAAAGGGGGAAAAACCTGAGACAGCTGTAATAGAATAAACATGATTTAAAAATAATTTTTTTTTTTTAAAAAAAAAGGACTGCAGAACATGGATTCTCAGAGTTTGGTCCCTGGGCCATCAGCATTAGCGTCACCTGGACCTTGTCAGAAACGCAGATTCTTGTTTCTTCATATTGACTGAATCAGAAACTTAGGGGGTGGGGACCAGTGTCTTAATAAACCCAAAAGGAGTGGTTCTGATGCAGACTGAAGTCTGAGAACCAGTGCTCAGAATCTGAAGGACTCCTAACATTCATTAAAACACAGAAAACCCAATTAGAGAAATAGACTTCAAGGGGCACTTCACAAAAGAGAATATCCAAATGGCCAATAACTGGAAAAGTGCTCACTCTTGTTAGTTACCAGGAAAACGCAAATTAAAACCACGATGAGATACCCCTAGACGCCCGCTAGAATGGCTAACATTAGAAAGGCCAGTGTGCAGTGGGAACTCTTATGCACTACTGTGTGTATAAAAAGTATATTTTGGGAAAATGACTTTTGAAGACAGTTGGACAATATTTACTCAAGATATATATCCTGTGATCCATTAATTCTACTCCAAATGCATAAACATGTGCTCCAAGAGATGTTGTGTTCAAGGATATTCCTGGAAACATCATTTCTAATAGCGCCAAACTGGAAATAATCGAAATGCTCATCAACAACAGAAAGAAAATGAACTGTGATGTAATAGAAGCTCCAAAGCAATGAAAGTCATTAAATTACATCAACGACACAGGTGACTCTCAGGAACTTAAGCCAGACCCAAAGAATATTTATGATTCTATTTATACAAAGTTTAAACATAGTCATGCCTAAACTACAGTGTTCAAAGTCAGAATAGTTCTTCACCTGGGGAAGGTGGAAGGTGGTGGCAATTGGGTGAAAGGAAAGACGCAGTTCCGGGGTGCGTAAAGCGTTCTTTTTGGTGGGGCTGGATGGCAATGAGAACAGCAATGGACTCTTTGTTTATTTGCTGCACTTCTCTGTTGCAGGTTATACTTCACAACTGAGTTAACTAAAAACAAAGTTATCAGCCTGCTTTTCTTTTAGAATCTTCCTCAAATTCAGAGGCTTAATCATCTAAAATGGACTAATCGGTACCTGGGACATAATTTCGGAGTAAAATATGAGTATATTTGTGAGTTGTCTTGTGGTCCAGAGCAAATGGCTGCTTGTGAAGCATTTGGTACAGGAGGGCTCAGGGTCTCTGTTTTTTCCAACTGATTAATCAAATGAGTCACACTTCCTCTCCAATTCCAGAATAAGTACCAAAACAAGGCGCAATACGGATTTTCTGAGTGCCAATTTCTAAAGCCACTTTATTAAGGTATGATTGACATACAAAAACTGCACATATTTAATGTCTACAACTTGATGTGTTTGAAGGTAAGTGTATACCCATGTAACCACCGCAATCTATGCAATAAACTTATGCATCACCTCCAAAAGTTTCCTCTTATACTCCTTTGTATTTCCATTAGTATGAATGAGATACAAACAAAAATCTAATGCTAAATGCTTTTGATAACGCCCTAAATGGTGGGTGGGTTGTAAAGAAACAGTTTAAACCAATTCAATGAGGCTGTGAATTAGACTTACTAAGTATTGTGGCAATTGAATGAGTTAACTGTTAATTTATCGACATGTTAACTTGTATCTATGTAAGCTGATGAAATCAGTGTTTTTCTTTCTAATGGTTTGGAGATGCTAGAAACCCCTTCCCTCAAACCTCAATATTTGTTTCTTATCTAATTCTGAAAAGTTCATTGTTCAAGATGTTCAAGATGTTCAGAATCTGTTGCTATGAAGCGCGTGAGACTTAGTGCCTGAATGTGTAAGTCACTTCCCATAGCCACTTCTGTTTCGGACAGTTTTCAGCATTCACCTTTACCTAGAAAACTGTATGACATTCTGGACCCCACATCTCAAGTAAAAACCTTCCTTGTCATTCCCCAATGGTAGTTTAGGGAACGGACATGCTTATATTTGATTAAAAGGAATGATGGGGAAGGAATCTTTTCACTTGGAATGAAGAAAACTGAGGAAGTTCAAATTAAAACAAAGAAAAAGATCCAAAAGCCATGTTTATGGTCAATATAGTTTAGTTACCAAATAACCTAATTCTCCAAAGTTCATCTATTGAAAATGGAATGTATCAAAAAAAAAAATTCTATTCCAAAAGTAACAGGAGTTATGAACTACATTATTCCACAAGCAGACAGACTGAAAAATAGTGATACGTTTCCTCAAGAAATGCAATCAATTCCTGGGTTAATTTCCACAAAACATGATGTATGTATTTTAATGGACATGCTGCTCCTCATCAAATTGAGAATTTTAAACCAAGAGGTATCCACATTCACATACACAGAGTCCTTCTTTCCACCATTTTATATTCTATTTGCAGATTTAGAAATAAAGGATATATATATAAATAATAATTTTCAAGTAAAAATCCTCTGCAACCACTGGACTCTCTTGACACCTGTTGCAGTTTGGCTCTCGGGTATGCAGACTGAAACGAGGTTAATGTTCAGCATATTCATTAGCGGGTGCCTTTGGGACCAACACGGGATCAAGGTGGAAGGAGCTGGGGAGGGCAGAGGGAGAAATCAGTAGGAATGCCGGCCCGACAACCTTAGCTGGCCCCACTGGGAGCTCTGGAGCTAAGATGGCCCGGAAGGGGTGCCCCGCCAGTGGCCAGGCCTCTATTCACCACCTCCGCCTGGATCAGTTGTTGCCTGCGGGCTGCCCCCTGAAGCGCGGGCGGCTGGAGGCTGCCCGCCGGGCATCACTGCCGGCAGCTGGGGCAGCAGGGCCTTGACAGGAGACCTGGGCAGCCCACCCCCCGCCCACCGCAGTATGTCACAGATCCAGAGGGAGAGAATGAGGGTGTCTGCTGGCAGAGAATTCTTGGTGATGACATTTAAGTCCAAACGACGGATTAAGCGGTTCTCCACAACATCCTGTAGTCTGAAAAATAGAGAAGTCCATGGAGGGGAGATGCCTTCATGCTCCAGGGTCAGCCCAGTTTTCGCTTTTTCTAGAAAGCCGTCTTCAAATCATTCTGCATCCTAGGTAATTCCTATGTATGTATTTCTATAATACCCTGCCCACCCCTCATTCGTTAAACAGAGCTACACTTGGTTCAGTGTCCTGTTGTCACCATCTTGAAATCGTTAATTTTTAAACAAAGGGCCTGCTTTTTCCTCTTGGCACTGGGCCCTGTGCGTTATGTAGGCTGCCCTGATTACCAGTATTCATAGTGATCTGTTTCCTCACTAAATCATGAGCTTCCAGAGACTGGAGCTGTGCCCTGTGCATTTTTAATTAAATCTTCTGGCACAATGTCTGTCATACAGTGGGTGCTCAATAAATGTTGGCTAAATAATGAACAGTGACCAAGAAAATATCTTCCTTCTAGACTTTATAATTCTGAAATTTAAGGAAGTAGCCTAGGATAACAGGAAGTCCTGGATTTGCGGTCGGTCCCCCAGATCTTCATGCCAATTCTGTCTCTGCCACTTGCTGGCAATGTGGGTGACCAAAGAATATATTTTCCAAAGTGGGACACTTGGGAATGAAAGGAAGACACTAACCAGCCTAACGAGCCAGGGCAATAAACCGACCCCATCCTTGACAAAATGGGATATGGTCACCCTATCAGCATGTTGCCTTAGCTACATGCTTGGGTGAATATCTCAACCTCTCAGAACCTCAGCATCTTCATCTGTAAGATGGATATAGTTCCCTCCCTTGCACAGTTGCTTTGGTTGGGATGACCGATGAACCAAGAGCATCCAAAGAAACAGGATGGAATCATTACCCTTGGACAAGGAGAGCGTCCCCTCTTCTACCAAGATAGGTGGAGGAAGGTAGGCTTGTAGATTGTTTGAGGAGGTCCTCGTCTGATGGCCTAAGGGGGGGGTCCAACCTTTGGGCATCTCTGCGCCACACTAGAAGAAGGGTTCTCTTGGGCCACACATTGAATACATTGCGACACGTAATCACACACACACAAAAGTCATCATGTTTTAAGTAAATTTACGATTTTGTGTTGGGCTGCATTCATGGCCATCCTGGGCTGCATGTGGCCTGCAGGCCGCAGGTTAGAGACCCCGGAACCAAATTGTTCTTATTTCACAAGCAGTTCAAATGAAGCAAGCAGATGGGGAGGAGCACAAGTTCTGGAGTCAGTCA